CCTCCTCCTCCTCCTCCTCCTCCTCCTGGCGTCGGCTGCTCTCTGCAGGGCTGCAGGCGCCCTCGCTTTGAGAAATGCACGTGCTCCCGATCCGTGCGGGGCGCCCTGCGGGCACGGGGCACAAGCCGCCAGGGGGAGGATCAAGGGGCCCAGGGACACACAAATAAATACACACAAATAAAAGGGTTCCCCATATTGTTCTATAATTTTGGGGTTTTCGTCTTCCCCCCCACTTCCCATGTTTTCCCATATTCTCTGGGGATCGACGATTAATTGTGTCTGTGTGCTTTTTTCCCTCCTGAGAGGACGGGGGGGCCGGCGGCACCAGGTGAAGCGGTGGAGGCCGGGGGAGAGGGGAAGGGCAAGGTCCGTGCCGAGCAGCTGTACGCGAAGGAGGCTACTCCAGACCGGCGCAGTTACACAGGGAGGGGGCCGGGGAGTGGACAGTGGGGAGGAACAGGGGGCACGGGAGTGCAGAGAGGGCGGTGCATGGGAGGACGGCAGGGGCAGACAGAGGGGAATGGGGATGGGAAAAAGAAGAGGCTGGAAGAGACGAGCCGGAAGACGACGACGACGACGACGACGACGACGACGACGACGACGACGACGACGACGACGACGACGACGACGACGACGACGGCGGCGCCCACGCCCAAGACCACGACCAGGACCACGACCCCCACCACGACCACGACGACGATCACGACGACGATCACGACCACGACCACGACCACGACCACAACGACGACGACGACGACCACGACCACGACCACGACCACGACGACGACGACGACGACGACGACGACGACGACGACGACGACGACGACGACGACGACGACGGCGGCGGCGGCGACGGCGACGGCGACGGCGACGGCGACGGCGACGGCGACAGCGATGGCGACGGCGACGGCGACGGCGACGGCGACGGCGACGGCCGCGGGCACGGCGACGGCGACGGCGACGGCGACGGCGACGACGACGACGCCAACGCCCACGCCCACGCCTACGACCACGACCACGACCACCACGGCCACGACTACGATTACGACCGCCACCACGACCACGATCACGACCAGGACCACGACGACGATCACGACCACGACCACGACCACGACGACGACGACGACGACGACGACGACGACGACGACGAAGACGACGGCGACGGCGACGACGACGACGACGACGACGACGACGACGACGGCGACGACGACGGCGACGACAGCGGCGGCGACGGCGGCACGCGCGTGCCCTGCCCCAAGGATGGAGGGCGGCGTCCTGCCTGCTGCACCAGGCGGGAGCCGAACTGCGTGAGCGACAGCGCACGCGCGCCCGACGCGACCCACGCCTGCCAGCGGGGGACGGGGGGTGCACTGCGGAGCCCACGAGTACACTGCAGCAAAGACTGGGGTCAGGGAGGGGATGATCGAGGGCCCATCGGGACAGCACAACTCACCTTCACCCTTCAGCCAGGACCCACGCTCCCCGACCTGGTGATCCAGGGGGTCCTGGCTGGGGGTGGGTGGTCTGTTGGAGCTCTTGGAGCAAAAAAAAACACCCCCACCCCCAGCCGGGTCCCACTGGATCACCAGGTCGGGAGTGGGGGTCCTGGCCGGGGGGTTAGGTCGTGCTGTCCCCAGTCCAAGTTCGGACGAGTGTTGGCCTCTTTCTTGGGGGCTGCTTGAAGCCTGTGGCTTCTTCTGGAAGCCTCGAGCAGCCTCCACGGACCTAAGCAGGCTCACCAAGGACCTCCGGCCAAGAACCCCCGGAGACCCAGGGCGGAAACGGGGGCGGATGAGGAGGGGGGAGGAGGGGAGGGGAGGGTGTGCTGCATCGTCGTTGGTGCGTCCTGGGCTTGCACTGGCCCTCCCCCTCAGAAAATGCGGTCCAAAGGCAACAGTGGCCGCCGCTGGGCAGGCGATTCCTCTGCCGCATGGACAGCGTCAGCGGCGGCACCACTGGCGAGCCTTGTTCAGAAGGAACGAGGCGCTGCTGCCTGTGCTTCCCAGAATTCCGCCGCCGTGACTTGTCCACCAAATTATGCTGCGTCCTCGAAGGGCCGTGTCTGTCCCGTCGCGGCCCCATCCGCGTCCAATCCGTGTCGAATCCATGTCGGACTCGTCGGATCCGTGTCGAATCCGTGTCGGATGCGTCGAGTCCACACCAAATCCGCGTCGAGCCGCATCGAGCTCACGTCGGGCTCAAGAGAAGACACCAACTTGGGGGACAGGCGGGGCCCCCCGAAGAGGCAAAGCAAGCAGCGTGGGCCAGTGGACTTCTGGGCCTCTTCCCCAGGGGACTGGCAATTTCGTGCTGCGTCGTTTCTGGACGGTCCGTTTCGGGCCCGTGGAGGACCCGGAGGCCCGAGACGGACAAAAGCCGTCCGTCTTGTTTTCTACGTCACGCCTCCTCCTCCTCCTCCTCCCCCTCCTCCTCCCCTTCCTCCTCCCCCTCCTCCTCCTCCTCCTCCTCCTCCTCCTCCTCCTCCTCCTCCTCCTCCTCCTCCTCCCCCTCCCCCTCCTCCTCCTGCTCCTGCTCCTGCTCCTGCTCCTCCTCCTCCTCCGAGGAGGAGGAGGTTGGGGCCGTACAGTCGGGGCCTTGACCTAAGGGACCCAAAATAAGGAACGAGGCCCCTAGTCTCCAGAAGTAAAACTTCGACTTCCCATCGAAACCCTAAGCAAAATCAGAGGCGAACTGCAAAACAACTAAGGAACAACGAGCCCCTCCCCAACGAAAAGGGTTCCTTCCTCAGCGCCCCGACTGTATCCCTCTCCGCACGCCGACCCCGATCGCGCCGAGTCGCGACGACGACGAGAAGGCTCTGACTCTCGGATCAGCACTCGGGTCTCCGGCGGGCGTTCGGGACGGTCAGGGCACCCGCAGAAGTCTCTCTCGGCGAGGCGCCGCTGCTGGCAGGCACGGAAGAACCTCTGGGAGCCGAGGACAACGCCAGACAACGTCGAACTTCCCACCTCGGCGCGCCGCCGATGGCCCTCGCCTGGTCTGACGGCTGGGGCCCCCAGAGGGCCCCAGCCCTTCCCCGAGACCAAATTTGTTCTGCCCCGTATCCCTTCTGATGGCCCCGGGGGCCCGATGACGGGCCCCGGGGGCCGAACTCGAGGAAAAGCGCCCCGATCGCTGGTCTTGTTTAATCCATCTTTTGATTGAATAAAACAAGTATTAAAATATGTTATATTTCTTTCATGATTATATATTGATGTACACACATACATATACATATACATATATATATATACCTATACATATACATATATGTATAAATATACATATACACATACATATACATATACATATACATATACATGTACATATACATATACATATACATATACATAGACATAGACATATGCAAATGCATACACATATACATATACATACGCATATATATATACATATACATAAACATATATATATATATATACATACATATACATATAGATATACATATACATATACATATACAAATACATATACATATACATATATAAACATATGTATATATATATATATGATGCTGATGGTTTTCTAACAACAACAAATCTGGGCCGACCGCGCCGAGCCGCGACGACGGGGACGACGGGCCGGGGCCGCGCCATAATCTGCGCGGCCCGCGCGCCCCGCGCGCCGTCCAGGGGCGGCTCGAGGTCCGCCGCCATGCGGTCGCACAGCGCCCGGTCCTCCCCCGCCGCCGCCGCGTCCAGCTGCAGTCCTCTGCCCAGCCGCAGCGGGCGCCGCCGTGCCGTCGTCGTCGTCGTCGTCGTCGTCGTCGTCGTCGTCGTCGTCGTCGTCGTCGTCGTCGTCGTCGTCGTCGTCGTCGTCGTCGTCGTCGTCGTCGTCGTCGTCGTCGTCGTCGTCGTCGTCGTCGCGGTCGTCGTCGCTCTGGCCGTCGCCCGAGATCTGGGCGTTCTCGCCTGGCCTCGGGCCCCAGGGCCCTCGCGGGTCGATCCAGCTCGACAAAGGCCGCAAAAATCTGAGGCCCAGGGTCCGATCATGATTTTCCGCGAGGCTGCAACGTTATCGCAGCGCCGGATCTCAGGGTCGTCGTGGCCAGCGTGGACGTCGTGGTCGTCGTGGTCGTCGTGGCTGTTCTGGCCGTCGCCCCCGTGGCTCTCGCCGCAGCCGCGGGAGGGGGGAGTGGGCGGGAGGAGAGGTAGGCGAGGAGGAGGCTCCTCCTCCTCCTCCTCCTCCTCCTCCTCCTCCTCCTCCTCCTCCCCCTCCTCCTCCCCCACCTCCTCCTCCATCTCCTCCTCCCCCTCCTCCCGCTCCTCCTCCCCCTCCTCCCCCTCCTCCTCCTGCAACGGTAACGGCTCAGGGCGCGTGGTGCCACGAAGGCGCGGCGGAGGAGGGCGCCGCGGCGCCCGCATGGAATAACTTGGGCAAGGCGCGCGCCTGTGAAACAACGCAGGGGAAGCCTCTAGAGGAGGAGGAGCAGGAGGAGGAGGAGGAGGAGGACGAGGACGAGGAGGAGGAGGAGGTGGAGGAGGTGGAGGAGGAGGAGGAGGAGGACGAGGAGGAGGAGGAGGAGGAGGTGGAGGATGAGGAGGACCAAAACCCAAGAGTCGTCAACGATGTTGTAGTAAACCCTCCCTCCAAGCTCCCTCTTCTTTAGCCCCTACAACGGTTCATGTCCATTGATGGAACTGCCTCGTTGGAGGGCACCCGCTTCAAGACCTTGAAGCATGCCAAAACATTGTTCTCGGGATTCCAACGCCACGGATCAACCTGACTGTTGCGTGTTGACGATCCTGAATTGCGCCAGAACGCCATTCCTAGGACTTCAACACAGAGAATCAACATAACTATTGCACCCGCATGATCCTGAATCCTTCCAAGACAATTTCTGGTACGTTGATGATGGGAATCAGTGAAGCTCTTGAACAATGTGTAAACGAATGTGCGCGGCGCTAAGGCGAGAGCCACAGTTTGGAAAGGAAACGCCCTCAATGCGTGAAACTCTTGCAAATGTTCAAAACGAATGTGCACGGCGCTAAGGCAAGAACCACATTTTGAAAAGGAAACGCCCTCAATCCGTGAAAATCTGTTCAAAACGAATGTGCACGGCGCTAAGGCGAGAGCCACATTTTGAAAAGGAACCGCCCTCAATCCGCGAAATGTACGCCGCGCTACAACGAGAACCACATTTTGAAAACCACTCGCCCTCCATCCGTGAAACTCTTACAATGTTACAAATGAATGTGCGCCGCGCTAAGGCGAGAACCACATTTTGAAAACGGCCCACCCTCCATCCGTGAAACTTTTGCCAATTGTCAAAGCGAATGTGCGTCGTGCTAAAGCGAGAGCTACACTTTGAAAAGCACTCGCTCTCAATATGTAAAACTCTTGCAAATGTTCAAAACGCATGTGCGCCGCGCTAAGGTGAGAGCCACATTCTCAAAACGACCCGCCCTCCATCTGTCAAACTGTTGGCAATTTGAAGCTTCAGAGTCATAAATGGTGAGGAAGTCTCAGGCGAAACGCCCGGCCCGCCCGAAAAAACTGGCCTCGGGGTGCGACAGGGAGAAATTAGTTATAAGGAAAGGAGGAGAAGGAGGAGGAGGAGGACGAGGAAGCGGAGGAGGAGGACGAGGAGGCGGAGGAGGAGGAGGAGGCGGAGGAGGAGGAGGAGGAGGTGGAGGAGGCGGAGGAGGAGGAGGAGGCAAGCGTACGACGACGACGACGACGACGACGACGACGACGACGACGTCAGGAGGAGGAGGAGGAGGAGGAGGAGGAGAAGGAGGAGGAGAGCCATTGCCCGACTCGGGGGCGGCGAACCCCCTCGGCCGGGCCCCCGGCACGGGGGCGGAGGGTCCCGCAGCGGGCGACGGACGAAGCGCGGCACCCGCCGATGCCAGCGCGGCGCCTGCGCTCTCAGAGCCATCGCACCCGGGGGCGTTGCCATGCAGGGGCCCACAGCTGCCCGACGAGCAGCGCGCCGCGGGTGCCTCCTCGCCATGGAGGCGGCGCTCGGACAACAGCAGTACCAGAACCATCACGACCACCACCACCACCGCCACATCGTCATGAAGAACGGCACCAGAGGCGCCAGCACGAAGACCTACTCCTGCGCTGGCACCGCCAACTTCTTCAACAAGGACGTGCCGGAGATCACCTCCTACATTATCGCCCACGTCTTCGCGTCCAACATCGACCCATAATGGCACCATGGAGTGGCCTATCAGTTAACATACAGAATGAGGGCAGCAGCGGGAGCAGCCATGGGAACAGCGGTGGAACGCCAAACCGAGCTGCGTGGCAAGCAGCAGGCCCCGCCGCTGGCCCAAGCGACCCCCCGGTCCTGCAGGGTGGTTGTTCTGCGTGCGGCTCGCCGCACGTGGATAGCCATAATCACGGGCCCCTGGTGGGGCCTGGGCCTTGCAGGGGATCCACTCGGGTGGCCTCTGGTCCCACAGGTGGCTCCAAGGACCTGCCCCACGACCCCCTGCCCCACGACCCCGTGCCCCACGACCCCCTGCCCCACAACCCCCTGCCCCACGACCCCCTGCCCGACGCGCCCCACGACGGCCCCCGCGAACTCCTACCCACCCCCCACGACGACCCCCGCGACGGCCCCCACCCCCCCACCCCACCCGACGGCTGACGCGACAGCCGCGCCCAGAGTGGCCGCATGCCCTGAGAGGGAGCCCGCGGGGGGGGGGCATACCTGGGGCAGCAGCCATAGGGGCTCTTGGCCGGCGGCCAGCCCACGGCCGGCGCCATTTGCCCCTCGGCAGGATCCCGGGTGGCAGGAGGGAGCCGGGAGCCTGCGGAGGGCTCTCTGAGACTCCCCACCCGCCCCCCCCCCCGACGGCCCCACGATCCCCCACCCAACCCGAGAGCTCCCACGACCCACCACCACGACGGCCCCTCACGACGGCCACTGCGCGACGGCCTCCGCGACAGCCCCACGCGACGGCCCCCGCGACGGCCCCCGCGACGGCCCCTACCACGGCCCCCAGCGGCTGCCCCTACAACGTCTCCCACAACGGCCCCACCCCAGAAGCGACGACGACAACGCCCGCCACGACGACGCCTCAGACGACGACGAAGCCCTCCCCCCCTACGACGCCGACGCCGACGACCACCAAAACGAGCGCAAGGACGGACCGACCGACGGCCCAGCCGACGTCCCCCCAAACGCCCTCCCCGAAGCTCTCCGCGACGCCCAGACTGGCGCCACGCGTCACCCACAAACCGACGCCTCGCCCGACGCGCGCGCCGCGCCCGACCCACAACGGGGGCAACCTCGGCTACGCGGACAGCGCTCCACTCACCGACAGCTGGCCGCATCACGGGACACACGAGCGGACCGCCGACCCCACGACCCCCTGCTCCCCCGACCCCCCCGCCCGACGGCCCCCGCCCCCGCGATGGCCCCCGCGAACCACCCGCCGCGACGAGGACCCCCCGCGACAACCCCCACGACGGCCTACTGGCGACAACCCCCGCGACGGCACCACGAGACGGACTCGACGACGGCCCCCGCGACAGACCCCGCGACGGCCCCCCGCGACGGCCCCGCCCCGACGGAGGCGAAGACGACGACCGCCACGAGGGGGCCGGCCGGCCACGGCGACGCCCCCCCGGCCCAGCGGCGCCGACGTCCGGCGAGGGCCGCAGAGGCCCGGGAGGCGGCGCCCTGTGCCGCCGGGGAGGAGGAGGGGAGCGGGAGGGGCCACAAGCGAACCCTGCCCCTACCTCCCCCGATTTCTGAGGGGAGAGGGTGGGTTCATGTCGTTTGGGAGCTCCCGAGCGAAGTGAACCCCACCCTCCCCCTCAGAAATCGTGGGGGGTAGGGGTAGGGTTCGCGTGTGGTCCCCTAGAAGCGGGAGGGGGGGGGGGGCGGGAAATCGGATAGGCAGGTCGGGGGAAAGGACTAGAATGCCCGCCGCCCAGCCTGCGCGCTGGCTTCGCCGACCCTGGCTTGAGCCCCCCGCCCAGGGACGACGGCCCCCCTGGGGGCGGACCTGGCTACGTCTGTCAGACCCCGTAGCCGCCAGTTCCCAGGAGGAGCAGGAGGAGGAGGAGGAGGAGGAGGAGAAGAAGAAGGAGGAAGATCCGAAGCCGGGCGAGGGTTGCTAAATCCGTGGCTGCTAAAATCGACCTCCGGGAAATTGTATTCGTCCTTCTGGGAAGAAGCCCGTCGACTGTTTCGCGTGCCGCGCCTCATACCGGGAAGTTGTTTTTTCCTTCTGGGAGGGCCGTTTTAGCAGCCACGGTTTTAGCAGCCCTCGCCCAGCTTTCGAGAGGAGGAGGAGGAGGCGGAGGAGGAGGAGGAGGAGGAGGAGGAGGAGGCGGAGGCGGTGAGGGAAACCAGGAGCCACCGCACGAGCGAACGAAGGCCGTTGTCGCCCGGAGGCGGCCAATGGTACAGTCAACCCGCAGAGTAAGGATGCGCGGCAAGGATGCGAGGCCCTTGGACGCCCATCTCGAAGCGTTTCGAGCGGGGCGCGGCCAACGAAAGTCTCCAAGGATGGACCCGTCCTTGCTCTGCGGGTCGACTGCAGGCGACGGGCGCGGGAAGCGTGCCGGCCCTCCGGAGGACCAGAAGCATGGGAGGCACGATGAAACAGCTCGGCGTCGGGTCGATGCTGCATGACACGGCAATGGCTTCCACTGGACGCAGCAGAACGTACCAGTAACCAGCACCGTGTGCCCCCGTTGGAGGCGCGGGTCCGACCAGAACACGCTTTGCAAGAACATTACAGC